GGAGGATGTTCTAAGAACGTGGTTTTTGTCCTTAGAACATTTTGGGGTTCTGAGAACATGTCGTGGTAGGCCTATAGAGATGCCGGGACCGTCGGCCCCTGCTGAACGGCGCACCCGCGGGCTGGCCCGATCACCAAGCAGTAGCGAAGTGTCTTGGCCCGCCTATAGGCCCACCAAAAGAATTTTCTAACATTTGGTGGTCTGCGCGAAACGTTCTTAGCACATGTCAGGCTGAGACAGCCTTGTTTTAGCACATCGGGCTTATGCTCTAAGAACAGTGCTTCTTGTGATTGGAACATGCTTGGGTTCTAAGAACATCTCGTGGTAGGCCCACACGAACGCCTGGACGGTCGGTCCCTGCTCAAGATCATGATCATTTTCCGCGTCGAGCTTCAGATGATGTTAAAGACCGTTTGGGCTTTTTGTTGGTTGGCAAGATCGACGTGTTTTTTGTCATCAGTTCTGGTGCCAGCTGCTTTTCCAGATTGGGATTCCTGCTCGCGCCGTTTTCGTTACGGCTCCGTGCTGTGTGATGTGTGTCGTGTGTGTGCTTGTTGGACTGCAGCTGTTCCCCCGTCTGTTGGGAATTGTAAAGAAAAGTGACGCCACCAGAGTTCTCGTCATCAACTAAGCCCCCACCCTGCGAAGTCGATCCGCGAGTGCTGCTCCTTCGTGGGGCTTACGGAGACGGCGCTGCTGCCGCGCCCTTTGCGGGTCTGCGCCCGCTGGGGTCTGGCCTTGGGCCGCTTTCACTGGAGGATGTGCTTGCGAAATTCGCATTCGATCGGAAGGGGCACGGTCGGATCAAGGTATCAGATCGAGGTCGGTTCGGGGAGGGTACCCTAGTGTTCGTCGTGTTGGTTCGACGTTCGTGTGCATCGTGGGGAGGGTACCGTCGGCGGAGGGCCTCATGTTCTTGAGGGGTGTTCCTCTGGCCCAGGTCCTATCGTGCCCATTCTGAACCAGCCTCGCTGTCGGCGTCGCCGCGGGCGTTTGCTATTTGAGACAGAATGGCGGCTGCCCAACAGCGGCCGCTGGTGTCGGTGTTGGACAACATTTGCTGTCGGACATCGTACCCATTCGGCGTTCCTTTGCAAGCACAACGTCCTCGGCACCGCCTGATTCTGGGGCTTTGCCCCCTCCTGGCCTTGATGTGAGGCCCCTCCTTCTGCCCCCCTCTCGTTAATTCAAGCTGTACGCGGCCCGCTTAGCTTCGACCGGAAGAGGTGCGCTCTCGACCCGCGGATCAAAAAATCGTACCCATTCTTTCCCGTACCCCTTCCTTGGCGTCCGAATCCATTGCCCCGTCCTGCCGGTCCCCCCCCCCTCCCTCGGGGCGCGCTATTTCAGGAGGGAAAGAAACACACAGACACAATCAATCGGCGATCCCCTAGAACATATGGGAAAAGACGGGAAGTGGGGGGGAAGACAAAAACCCAGAAAATATTGGAAAATATGGGGAATCGTTTTACTTGTGTGTATTTATTGGTGTGTCCCAGGGCCCCTTCACCATCTCCGGCGGCGCCGCCCGCTCCGCCGTGGCAGGCCGCCACTGGGCTCCTGAGCCCTGGGCTGGGCCCTCACCGACGAGCTCTCGGCGGTGGTGGTCCTCGCTCTAAGGGCCACCGCTCTAAGGGCCTCCTCCTCCTCCTCCTCCTCTTCCTCCTCTTCCTCCTCTTCCTCCTCTTCATCATTCTCCTCCTCCTCCTCTGCCTCCTCCTCCTCCTCCTCCTCCTCCTCCTCCTCCTCCTCCTCCTCCTCCTCCTCCTCCTCCTCCCGTTGCATGGCCGAGGTGCTGCCTCTGAGGGGGCCTGGAATCGGGGGTGGGCAGAGCCCCCAGCAGTGACACGTCGATTCGTGAATGGTCCGTTTTCGCTGCTCGAGAGAGGGCGCCGTGGCCGCTTATTTTCCAGGCCTGCGCCCGCCAGGTTGGGGCCTCGGGTCGTTTTCACCAAACCGCGTTCTGCTAAAGGGGGGTCTGTCCATCCCCGACGCGAGGGTGCGACATGAGTCGCGCTTCGCGGTCTGGGCGATTTGGGAGCGAGGCGCGAGTCCTTCCTCCTGTTGCGGAAGGGGGGGGGGCGGCGGCGGCGCGAGAGCGCGAAGACGAGCGTGGTACACGCATGGATTAGCATGTACACATTTACATGTGCATGTGCATATGTATAAATAGTAGCAGGTGTGGTATGTGTATTGGTGTGCGCATGTCTGTGTACACATGCATTTGCACATGTGCATATACATGTATACGTATATGGATGGGATCGAGGTCGCTTCGGGGAGGGTGCCCCAGTGTTCTTCGTGTCCTCGGGGAGCATGCCCTCGAGTGTTCTTCAGTCTGGCCCGCGGGGGGGCCTCGTGTTCTTGAAGGATACTCTTCTGTCCTAGGTCCTTGGCATCGCTCGGACGTGTGCGTTTTTTCCTCGGCGAGGACCATCGAGAAGCATCCTTCATCATTTGGCGAAAAAACCACGCACGAAACCGAAACAATCACAGGGAATGGACGTCCGAGCGATGGCGAGGGTCCGACCGCAAAAAAAACGACAGCAGCCCTTGTTTGTCTTGAGCAGAGCTCGCTGCCGGCATCACCGAAGATGCTGTCCATCTGCTGCAGAAGGCCGCCCAAGAGCGGCCGCTGCGGCTTTGGGACAACAGCTGTTGGTGGGCGTCGTGCCCATTTGTTCCGTGCCCAGTGCAGGCGTACAAACCAGTGGAGGGGGCAGCCGGTGCTGCGGGGACGGTCTCAGAGGCAGCGTTAGAGGCTTGAGGTTTGAGGCTCGAGGGCGTTTTCGTCGGTTTTCGGCATCTGGCCAGCCTCGTGATGCCCTTCAGCCGCTGCGCCTCGCCGAGAGCGGTCCGGGGAGTGGCCCGGATCCTCCCGAACGGCCGTCGGAGACTTGCGTTATATAGCCCGAGAACCCAGAGGCCCACGTTGGGGTGAAGTCGGGCTTGTCCCTCCCACAAGAGGAATATCCAGAAACAGTCGCCCAAAATCCCCCTGTAGGGGGACATGTCCGGCCTAACGTTAGGGGAGGAATAGGTTCAGGAGAGGACGCATCGACTCTCGATCGCCCACTGATCGCCGATCGGGGCCCAACAGCACACTCCGCCCAGGACCGCGCGGTTTCACCATGGGGGGCATGTGGCCAAGCTATCGGTGATGTAGCGCCGATTCCTCCGGACCGTGAGCCGCTGCCTCGTGAGCCGCTCCCCCCCCGGCCTTTGCCCCTCACAGTTGCTCCGGATGTGGTCCCATTCTTTGCGGTCAATCGGCCGACGGGCTTCGTGGGCTGACGGATGGGGGCGATTGTTCGCGTGCCTTGTGAAAGCGGGATCTTCGTCCACCCTGCCGTCTGCGCTGTACCGCACAGCCCACAGAGATGTCTGTCCAACATTTTGGTCCAGCGCGCTTCCGCGACCTACTACCGAACACCCGCCCCCACCAATTTCCGCCTGCAAGTCTTTCATATTTCGATGAAGAAGGAACGCAATAGGCACAAACTTGTGGCGCTCCGAGTGGATTTCTTAGATCCGCGCTGGACCCCCCCAGCGGCGCCTCCGGCGCCGCCGCCTGGCGCGCCGCGCGCCCGGGAGGGGGCTCCAGCGCAGATCCCAGAAATCCGCGCGGAGCGCCAAACGTTTATGCTTATGGCGCTGCTTGTTCCTCGAGTCGGCGGCGAGCGAGGGGGAGAATGAGCAGGAGAAGGCCTTCTCAGAAGGCGGCGGGACTTCTCCGGAGCCCTCGCGCCCCTTCTGAGAAGCTGCTGCTTCTGTCTTCGGGGAAGGCTTGTAGCAAACGTCCCAGAAGGCCGGGGCACTCCCGAGCCTTCCCTGACCTTCCAAGAGGGCCAAAAAATAGCACGCGACTTAAAAACCTATCCCAAGGCTATTCTACGTCTTGGTTTCAGGCTGTTTCGCTCAGTTGTTGTTACGTCTTTAGGCCTCCAGTGGCAAAACATAGCTCCCTGGAAGGTCAGGGTTCCGAGGAGGCTCGCCCCTCCTCGCCTACCCCCCTGGCGCGCCGCCTCTCCGCTACTCCACGCCCGACACCATGGCTGCCCGCCCCGCTCTCGCCGCCGCCGTGCTGCTCCGCGCGGCCGCCGCCATGCAGCTCTTCGACGGCGGGCCGGGCGGCGCCCCGGCGCCGGCCGCGGAGGGCCGCGCCGCCGGGCGGCCGCAGCCCTCCCCGCCGCCGACGCCGCCGCCGACGGCGGCCCCGACGGCGGCGCCGACGCCCGAGCCGACGTACGTCATGGAGCTGCCGGGGGTCCCCTGCCAGTGCCAGAAGCCGGCCTGCTTCGACAGGCGCTGCAGGGCGGCTCGAAGACGGGGCGGATCGGGGTTTGGGGTATCTCTGCGGACCGAGGGGATCGCCCGAAAACCTCGAACGCCGCCGACCCTCTCTGGTTCACGGAGGGCCTTTGTGGGCCCCGGAAGCGGCCGGCCCGTTTTTTTCACAGTTTTTGTTTCAAAAAAAAAGTGCCCCTCGAAAATGGAAGCGGCAAAAAAACACGGCGACCGGAAACGGCAAAAAAACGGCTCCAGGATTGGAGCCGGAGCCAGAACCGGTCAAAAAGCGGCGACGGAACCGGTAAAAAAACGGCGTCGGAACCGGCAAAGAAACGGCAAAACGGAACCGGTAAAAAAACGGCCCTGTCGTTTCCAGGGCCCACTAAGGCCGGGGGTCCCCTGCCAGTGCCAGGAGCCGGCGTGCTTCGACAGGCGCTGCACGGCGGCTCGAAGACGGGGCCGCTCGGGGTTTGGGATATCTCGTGTCTCTGTCTGTTCCCTGTCTCCTGCCGAGCGGCGCGGGCCCCCGCCCCCCCCCCTTCTCCCCCCCCCCCCCCCCCCCTGGAGTGGAGGCTGGTTGGTTTGGGCGCCTGCTTCGAGCAGGCGGAGTCTCCCCCACAGGTTCCACTGCTGCAAGCAGTCGCCTAAGCAGAGGTCCAGAAGCCGACCCCCCCCTCCCCCCCCTTCCGCCCAATATCGAAACGCCGAATTAGAAAACGTTCACAATTCGTACGGAGAGAATGGATACGAAACACAACAGCAGTTCCAGTTCATTCTGGACTGGACTCGCTGTCCGCGCCCAACAGCGGCTGCTGTCGGTTTTGGACAACACATACCAGAAGCCGGCATTCTTCGACAGGCATCGGTGGTTCAAAGATTCGAGGAAAAACGCCATAGACATTAACGTTTGGCGCTCCGCGGAGTTCTTGGATCCACGCTGGGACCCCCCCCCGGCGCCTCTGGCGCCGCCCCTGTCGCGCTCCGCGCGCCAGGGAGGGGGGTCTAGCGCAGATCCAGGAAATGCGCGCGGAGCGCCAAAAGTTTATGTGTAATGCCGTTCTTCTCCTTCCAAAGATTGGGTCCTGAGGGATGGTGTCCTCAGGATAGGAATGGGTCCAAGGGTGGATTTACACTCTTGAAGGCACCTCGCCCCCTTAGGACCCCATTCTTCAGGACCCCATCTTTGAACCACCGCAGGTACGACCTCAACAGCGACACGTGCATCACCCAGGACTCTGCATCGTCTGGCCGATCCCCATCCCAAACCAGGCCACGGCATTTCAGCCCCACCAACCCGACCCCCCAGATGGGGGTGGGCCGCGCGAAGCCCGAAGGGAGCAGCATATATCCCCACCTGGGGGGGATGAGTCGGCCAGTGGGTCGACGGCCATGCCAGCAGGGATATGGATCGGTGAAACGATGTTCGAGGACGAGTGCGACCTCCAGGCGCCGCTCCTGAAGAACTGCACGGGCACCTCGACCTACGGGCCGGCGGTGTGGGACCTGGACTCGGACGGCTGCCTGAACTACACCGAGTGGGAGATCATCTTCGCCGCCACGAACGGGTCCGTATGCCCGGTCGAGGCCCCGCAGACCTGCGACGAGTGTCCAGCGGGGCACTTCGTCGTCACTAACCCGTGCGACTGCGAGGCGTGCGTGGGCGGCTACACGAGCAGGCGCCGCTCTCTCTCGTGCACTCCTTGCCCGTCTCCCTACGTGGACTACGGCGACTTCGACGATTGCCGTGACCCCAACAAGCCAGTCACGCCCCCTGCGAAGCTGCCAAACGGGACGACCAAGATTCCCGTCACGGGAGGAACCGTGGCCTCCTGTGATGAGTTCGCGCTGGGTGACAGCCTGACTCTCGTTGGACAAGAAGAGGATTGTGATGACGACGCGTCCTGCACACTTGTTCACACGTGCATAATCATTGGGGTTGCGCAAGTGACCGGGGGATACGAGTACGAATGCAATGATCCGTTGCCAGTCTCTTTCCCGCCGTATTCGGAAGTCGCGCAGACGTGCACGTCCACAGACGGGACTCAGGTGAGTGCGAAGTACTCCTCTGCAGCCGGTGGCTGCTGCTGCTCATGTGGCTCCAGCTGTTGCGACACCACCGAGGTGTGCACCCTGCACCCCAACGGAACTGGTGTGTGCTCCTCGGCTGGCCCGTACCCAGAGTTCTCGACTCCGGCCCCAACCGTCGGGGCCAAGGGCGACCCGCACCTGGTCAACCTGCAGGGGGAGCACTTCGACATCAACCACGAGGGCGACTTCACCCTGCTCCGCTTCCCGCAGGCCGGCGAGAAGCCGGCCGAGTTCTCCTTCAAGGCGGGCGTCACGGCGGAGAGCGGCAGGCCGTGCACCACGTACATCACGCAGGTGGAGCTCTCGGGCGCCTGGCTCGGTGGCAAGTCCGTGGAGATCCGCTGCTACCGCAGGATCGACTCCAACGACACCGCGTATCTCGGCGCCCGGCTGCTCGAGGGCGACACCGACGCCCCTTGGCAGAACATCGAGGACCTCCAGTTCAAGGACCTCGTGCTCTCCGGGCCCGAGTCGGACGTTGAGGCCTCCCTGGACACGACGACGTGGTTCCCCAAGAAGCGCACGGCAACGGGGCCAATCGCCGCCGGGATGTTCACCCTCACCCTGCGCCACAGGAAGAGCACGCACGGCGCCAAGATCACAATCCGCCAGGACCTGCCCGGGCAGGAGCACTTCAACGTGGCGATGAAGCACCTGGCCGCGCTCGGCCGCGTGGACGTCGGTGGCCTGCTCGGCTTCGACGCGCACCCGGCGAACCTCGAGCGCGTGACGGCCGCGTGTGCTCACCACAGAGCCATAGCGCACCCCCGCATCGAGAGCCAGGACTCGGGGGAGGAGGCATGCCGATGCCGACACCCTTCCTGCGTGCTCGCCTTCCCGGGCCACTTGGGAGGCCTTCGTCGCCACGGCTGGAGTTGCCTCGAAATCCGACGCGGAACGCACCCCGGGATGGCTCTGGGGACTGGCGGCGTTGCCACCTCGTCCCTCCAAGGACGAGCAGGGCCGCGGCTACTACTTCCGCCCGGCGTGGAAGGACCGCTGGGACAAGGTCCGCAAGGGCGGCCAGCCGCAGGACAACGAAGCGGCCGCCGGCTTCAGGATCGCCAGGAGGGACAGCGACACCGACGCCGACGACGACGCGGACGACGGTGCCCTCGGCGGCAGGATGTGCAAGTGTCCGAGCGACGACCACAGCTCTGGCGCCATCGAGGGGGTGCTGGTCGAGCAGGCTAGCTTCCTGTTCGCCGAGGCCTCCTGGGAGTAGCCTCGCCGCGGCGGGCCGCGGCACGCCGATGACGATGACTCAGGAGGGGAAAAAACACACAGACGCAATGAATCGTCGATTCCCCAGACAATACTGGAAAATATGGGAAGCGGGGGGGAAGACAGAAACCCAGAAAATATATGGGAAACTATGCGGAATCGGGTTACTTGTGTCTTTTTCATTGTGTGTTCCATTGCTCCTTCAATGGCGTTCTACTTGTCCTCCTCTCTGGACCTCCGAGAATCGAAAAAGCAGGGCGGCCGGTGCTCCCGGGTACGGCCTCCAGAGGCCTGTGGGCCGAATAGGGGAAGGCAGCAGGGCCGGAGCCCCGCAGAGGTCCGCGCAGACTTCTCGGGTCGCCGCGCTCGGGGCGGCGGGGATGGGGTGGGTTGTCCCGCGCTGGTCCAAGACTCGGGGGTGGACAGAACCCCCAACAGTAACACGTCGATTAGTGAATTGTCCGTTTTCGGTTCTCGAGAGGGCGCCGTGGCCACTGTTTTTCAGGCTTGCGCCCGCCAGGTTTGGGCCTCAGGTCGTTTTCACTAAACCACGTTTTACTAAAGGGGGGTCTGTCCATCCCCGAAAGACGTCGGCGCGGACCTTCAGATGTTGATGTTTGTGCCGCAGGACTCGGGCTCGACGGTAGCTCGGCGATGTCGTGGGCCGTGCTCGTCTTGATGTCGCCTCGCAGCAGAAGCGGACCGAAGACAGGACGGAGGAAAACGAGATCAAGACGCAAGCCAAAACGAAGACGAAAAGCAGTGTTTAGGCTTAGGTCGGGCATGCCCTCCTACAGGCGGACTTTGGACGAACAATACAGAATAGCCAAACACCTACCCCAACATAATCAAACATAGTCCAAACAGAATCCCCATACCATTTGATGTCTTTTTGTTGGAATATCCCTCCTGTAGAGGGACAGGCCCGACTTAAGTTTGGCCGGAGCCCTGTGGTGCAGTTGTGTCATCTTCCTGTGCCGACGACGGGGGGGCCGCGCGGCGCGAGAGGGGGGGCAGCCTCCTAAGAAGGCAGCAGGGGCTTCCGAGCTCCTCCATCCCTCCTTCATCTCCTCCCCCTCCTCCTCCTCCTCCTCTCCTCCTCCTCCTCCTCCTCTCCTCCTCCTCCTCCTCCTCCTCACTCCTCCTCCCCCTCTCCTGCTCCTCCTCCTCCTCTTCCTGCTCCTCCTCCTCCTCCCTCTCCTCCTCCTCCTCCTCCTCCTTCCTCCTCCTCCTCCTCCTCCTCCTCTCCTCCTCCTCCTCCTCCCCTCCTCCCCCTCCTCCTCCTCCTCCTCCTCCTCCTCCTCCTCCTCCTCCTCCTCCTCTCTCTTCCTCCTCCTCCTCCTCCTCCTCCCTCCTCCTCCTCCTCCTCCTCCTCCCTCCTCCTCCCTCCTCCCCTCCTCCTCCTCCTCCTCCTCCTCGCTCCCCTCCTCCTCTCCTCCTCCTCCTCCTCCTCCTCCTCCTCCTCCTCCTCCTCCTTCCTCCTCCTCCCTCCTCCAACTCCTCCTCCTCCTCCTCCTCCTCCTCCTCCTCCTCCTCCGCCTCCTCCTCCTCCTCCTCGCCTGCTCCTCCTCCTCCTCCTCCTCCTCCTCCTCCTCCCTCCTCCTCCTCCTCCTCCTCCTCCTCCTCCTCCTCCTCCTCCTCTCTCCTCCCTCCCTCCCTCCTCCCTCCCTCCCTCCTCCTCCTCCTCCTCCTCCTCCTCCTCCTCCTCCCTCCTCCTCCTCCTCCTCCTCCTCCTCCTCCCTCCTCCTCCCTCCTCCTCCTCCTCCGCCTCCTCCTCCTCCTCCTCCTCCTCCTCCTCCTCCTCCTCCTCCTCCTCCTCCTCCTCCTCCTCCTCCTCCTCCCTCCTCTTCCTCCTCCTCCTCCTCCTCCTCCTCCTCCGTCTCCTCTTCTTGCCTCGCCCATCCTCCTCGAATCTTCCTGAGGCTGTGCTGCCCCGGTGCGCCCGTTTTGATACGCAACTCGTACCGTGTTCAAAACGTCCGTGCCAATACGTTGCGTGTTGGTTCCACGTGTTGGCCTACGTCTGGGCGAACGTGCCGCGCCAGGCGTGGGTGCTCGGTCTGCGTGTCGAGCCCCATGTCAGCACGCTGCGGCTTGCGTGCTGCGCATCGGGGCGGCGAATAGTTCTGTTGTGAGAAGGCAGAGGGGGGCCCGAGTGGCTTTTCGGGAGGCGTTTCTCAGGAGCCGGGCGGGCTTCAAGACGACCCCCGCTGTCGTCTTAGAAGTTCGGGTCGGACAGCACGGGGGGATAGGCAAAGGGGGTCATCGAGACCTGAAGAACTCCCTGACCTTGGTAACACGATGAAGACGTGGCCTCACTTAGGTCCCCGTCTTCGGATTGGGGAGAATAGATCTGGGCGTTTGGGTCTGATACATCTGAAGACAAGACCCCATGATCCCTGACGTTTTTGGCCCTCCTAGTTTAGGGCCCCTTCCCAACAGGTCAGGGGTCCTTTTGTTGGTAAATCAGGTGGAGTTACGAGATCTGCTACATGCAGCAGGCTTCGGCCGCATTGCCAGGAGCTTTCCAATACTCTGGCGCCTCCAGCGCCGAGGGGCGCCGGGGAAATCCCCTCCTCCTCCTCCTCCTCCTCCTCCTACTTCTCCTCCTCCTCCTCCTCCCTCCTCCTCTCCCTCTCACCCTCTCCTCATCTCTCCTCCCTTCCTCCTCCCTCCTCCTCCTCCTCCTCCCTGCCTCCCTCCTCCTCCTCCCTCCTCTCCTCCTCCTCTCCTCCTCCTCCTCCTCCTCCTCCTCCTCCTCCTCCTCCTTTCCTCCTCCTCCTCCTCCTCCCCCTCCTTCCTCCCTCCTCCTCCCCTCCCCTCCCCCTCCTCCTCCTCTCCTCCTCCTCTTCTCTCCTTCTCCTCCTCCTCTCTCCTCCTCCTCCTCCTCCTCCTCCTCCTCCTCCTCCTCCCGTTCTCAAGACGCCCAGGCCCCCAGATTAGTACAAACGATGCAGGACGAACAGATTTGTCTTTTTCGAAAGTGAGAAAGTGGCATACACATAAACTGTTAGAGGTCCGCACGGATTTCGTGGGTAGGCGCTGTATTCTCCCTGGCGGCGTCTCCGATGCCGCCTTTGGCGCGCTCCGCGCGTCAGGGAGGGGATCCAACGCCGATCCACGAACTCCGCGCTGACCTCCGAAAGTTTGTGTTTATGCAAATGTGCGTTCCTCTACTTAGCTGCTTTGGTAAGCCCGTGTCAAAACGCAACACGAACCATCTTCCAAACGTCCGCGTTATCACCTTGCGTGTTGGCTCGGCGAGTGTTGGCCCACGTTCTGGCGAACTTCTCGCGCCAGACCTACGTTTTTGGTCTACGTTTTGAGTTCTGTGTCACCACGTTCAGGCCGCGTGTTGCGCATCGGGGAAGCTCAAGTATGGTCAGCACATTTTAATACGGACCACCTGTAGTTTGGGGAAGGGGCTCGGGTTTGTTCGTTTCGTTCCGCCAGTTTGGCCCACAAGTCTGGAAGCGGAGAACTCCAGAAAAGGGGCCCATTCCCCGTGTAGAGTTCCGCATTGGTTTTGTTAGGATGTGTCATGGGATCCAATTTTCCTCACTCCCTCTCCTTCCTCCATTCTCACGTTCCGTTGCACAGTTACACCTTAGAAATACTACTCTCCTCTCTTCCCTGACGCGGTGCAGAAGATATTCGGCTCCCTCCGTGTATGGCTTTCGCACAGGATTTCAATAGTTGTGGTGTCCGATGTGTTTTGCTTACCAGCCGATTGTGCTCGGTGTTTCAAGGGGGTGCTCCCGCTGCAGCGTGAGCCTCGTTTTCGGATCGGCGCTTTGCTTGCACTTGGTCCGAGCTGTTTGTAAGTAGGTGTCGCCCTATTCGTTTACCCTCCTCCGCCCTTCCCTAGTCCTCCTGCTCCTCCCAGTCTTGCCACGTTCGCTTCTCCCTAGTCCTCCCTGCTTCTCCTGCTCTGCTTCCTGCTGCTGGTGTTCGCACTCGTCCTCTCCCTTCCTCCTCCTCCCCTCCTCCTCCTCTAGTTCCTCTAGTTCCTACCAGAAGGCGGTCCGCTCTGCAAACCAGCCTCGGCCCCAAACGGGGATCAAAACACTCCACGGCAGACCCAGGACCCGCCAGGCAGGAGGCCTGGCGCGGGGGCCCCTTGGAGTCCGATCAAAAAAAATTAAACCCTCCTCGCCGCCGCCCTCGAGACTGGGAACGGGGCCGCTCCCCAGCGGCAGCCAGTCTGGGGTTCCCGCCCCGCTCAGAGGCGCTCGAGGGCGCGGCGGGCCAGGCGAGCCGCATCACGGCCCTTACTGACCAGCGGGACGCAGGGGTCGGCCAGGAATTTTGCCTGGCGACTCCCGTGGGCCCCGCATGTTCGACAAAACACGATGCAGTCACCCGTCTGGTGGCCGCACCAGGCCACTGCTTGCACGGCGGCGGCGTTCAGGCGGCGGCTCAGCTCACTTAGCTGCTCCTGCCTGGGGTGGAGCCTGGCGCCCTCCTTCGCCCTCAGGTCTTCCTCCCTGTTGCCCGCGTATGCCTGCCATGGCACCCCTGCCACCCAGGCCCTGGCCCACGAAGTGTGCGACGGCAGCCACGTCAACGTGAGGCAGCCAGGGCCGAGGTCGTCGAGCCGCTGCCAGACCCGTCTCCACAGGTCCGCCTGCTTGTGGCCTGGGCCGCAGCAACGTTCACGGCCCGCCTCCAAGTCGTCGTTGATCCCCTTGCAGTCCGTGTAGACCGTGATGGGCGATGGGCCGACCTCCTTCAAAACTTTGCGCAGCGCGTAGAGCTCAGCATAGCCGATCTCCTGGATCCAGCCTGGCGTGAGCCCGAGGAGGCCGCCGACGGTGTTCCCGACGTCGTCTACCGCCACGGCTGCCCATCCCGTGCGCGTCAGACACGGGGCCTCGGGGTACATCGCGGACCCGCCGATGCAGATGACACCTTCGCGGAGGCCGTGCCTCGCGCTGCCTGCGCGATGGCAGAGCTCGTCCATGCCTGGGGGCGGGGCTTGGTCCAGCCCGTGGTGGACAAGGCCCCTGACCAGGCCCAGGTCGTCCTGCGGCGCCCTCCTGCCTGCGTCGGCGGCCTCCTGGAAACCCAGGTCGCGCGCCCAGCAGGCGATGGCGGGGCGTGCGAACAGCCTGTGGTGCGCCGTGCCTGGTGCTTCTCCGCACCATTGGCACAGCGGGCTGAGCACTGCCCTCTCAACGTACAGGTCGGACTGCGTGACGAGCCCTCCTGCCATATGTGCCTCTCCCAGCGCTGCCTCCTGCACCTTGCCTGCCCGCCGCATGCCCGCCAATGCCGCCCTAAATGGCTCCAGGCTCGGCGGGCGGCCCTGGGGATGTTCGAACCCCTCGTGGCTCGCAATCTTCAGCATGAGGTGACGGTGGACCCCATTCTCGACCAGGCTGGCTACCATCCGCGGGCTGAGCAGCTGCAAGTCGATGATCTGCCCGCGGTCGTCCCTCCAGCAGTGCCAATTCAACAGCTCCCAGCCGATGCGCTCCAGCGAGAGGCAGACCGCCCGAGCTGGCCCAGTGACCTCGCCCCAGTCGTCTGATCTGCGCTCCAGCACCTGCTTGAAGACCGCAGGGGGCCGCGCGCCCAAGCCCTCAGCGGTAGGACGTGCGCCGCGTAGGCGGGGTCGTGCATCCAGTCCTTGCCCTCCTGCAGGGCGAAGATGACCGCCCTGGATCCCTGGCCGATCTCGCCCGCGATGGCCCTGCCGTTGATTGCTCGGGCGCGCTGCAGGGTCTCCGTGGGTACTCCACTGACCCTCGCTCCGTGGAGGATGGACGCTAGCCCTCCTGTCCTGAAAACCTTGGAGCGCCTCTTGGCCCTCGCCTTGCGCAAGGCCCTGTACCGCCCAGCCCTCTGGCTCAGGCGATCGATCCTCTGCCGTAGCACCCTCCAAGAGGCCGACCTCGCCATAGTGAAGTCCACGCCGAGGTTCTTCATGGCCTTCACGCGTGTGAACCTCCATCGTCTGAGCCTATGGGCGACCCGCTTGGCGATGTCGGAGTCGGCGCACAGAACCTGGCCCTTCGTCAAGGAGATGACGAAGCCGATGGCCTCCAGGTCCAAGCAGAGGGCGCGGGTGGCCCCGACCAACAAATGCTCCAGCTGCGCTCGCTTGGCGTAGACCGCCACCGTGATGTCGTCGACCAACAAAATTGGACGCACCCTCTGCCAGGCCGCCAGCATCGCGTCCAAAGGCTCGACCAGCACCACGCGGAGCAGCGTCGTGGCGAAGGAGCAACCCACCAGCAGTGACAGGGAGTTAAGGCCGATGTCGCCAACCAGGTCCTGCGCAGCCAGCTTGCCTATCTTGGCCTGCAGCCGCGCCAGCACGTCCAGCTCCCCCGAGACGAGGTGCGGCGCCCGCAAGCGGCGCCAGCTGGCCAGCAGCTCCCAAAACAGCGCCGCGATCCTGTGCCAGGTGCGCGCCTGCGGGGAGCCGCGGGCGCGCATCCCCCGCCTGCTGGCGCTGATGGTGCCCTCCTGGAAGCGGGCGGACTCGCCGCGGCCCGCGCACTTCATCAGGTCCTCCCGCTCCATGTCGAAAAAGCCGCCCAAGTCCTCCTCCATCAGCGCCGCGAAGCTGGCGTAGAGCTCGTCCAGCGTCCGAGGCCAGCTGCCCGTGGCCCGCGGGGACCCGAACCCCGCGGCAGGGCCTAGCCGCTCGACCTTGGCCACGCACTTGACCGCCTCCTCGTCCGAGTGCCTCTGGCCTGCGCCGCTGACCTGCCCTGCAGGCTCAGTCTCGCTCTCCGTGGCGGCGCACGGGGGCAAGTCCAGCACGTCGCCCTTCAGGGAATGGACGACCACTGTCCAGTCCTCGTCGTAGCACTCGCGAACTCCTCGCAGCGCCTCGGCCGTCGCTGACGGTGGCATCAGGGCGGGTGGCCCTAGACCGCTCGGCAATGCCTCATGGCCGTCGGAGCTCGCCACACGAGCAGGGCAATTTATCGCAGGCTGCCCCCAACTGCCAGTCCCAGGACTTGGATCCTGGGGGGCCGCTCCCGACGGGACTGGCCCCCCAGGATCGCGCCTCTCGCCGCCTCCCTGGTCGAAGGACTCGTCCAGCACGGCGGCCTCGACGTTCTCGGGACCGATGATGTACGGGGCCTGCACCGCCTCGAGGTACTGTCCCAACTGCGCGAGCAGCAACCTGCTCTCGGGGTCCAGGCCGCTGGTGGTCGCCACCAGGTAGACCGAGACCGCCAGGAATCCTCCTGGCGCCACGCCCGTTTCCTGCCCGAAGAGGATGTCGCCCTGCGCCTCTTCCTGCAGCCAGCGTCGCGTGCTCGCCCTGGAGGTCGTGTTGGCAGAGACCAGCCTCCAGAGTGAGCCCTCGCGGGGCGCCCTGGCCCTGCGGTTCGCAGCTGCCGCCCCCGCGCCCTCGGGCGCCTCAGTGGGCCTGGTCCTCGCTCTTCTCTGCTGCCTCGGCCGCGCCTTTGCCTGCAGCGGAGCCCGCTGGGAGGCGCAGGCGCTTGGGCAAGGAGCAGCCGTGCGACTCGAGGAAACGCTCGACCTCGGCTCGTTTGGCCCCATCAAGGGCCTCCACTCTGGCGTCGAAGTCGTCGCCCTCCTCCTGCATTGCGTCCTCTCCCGCGGCTGCTGGTGACCCGCCCTCGCGGTCGGGAGGGCGCCCAGCAGGAGCAGCAGCAGCAGCAGGCGCCCCAGAGGGTGGGGCCTCCGCCGCCCGCTTGGCCGCCTCAATGCGGGCCTTGCTCGCGGCGGCGAGCTTTGAGAAGAGCTCGATGGCCTGGGTAACCTGGACGGCCTCCTCGCCCTCGAAGTGGTCCTTGAGCTCGGCGGCGTACCTCGCTCCGAGGGTGGCTTGGGCCAGCCTGTCGACGTCCTGCGCGCGCTGGTCGAGCTGTGCCTCGGGCGGGAGGCCCGCCTGCTCCACCCTCCTGGCGCGCTCGAGCAGGTCCTGCGCCTGGGCGTGGGCCTTGGCTGCGGCCTCCTTGGCCTCCGTGGCCTTGTCCACCGCCAGCTGGGCGTCCGCCAACGCCTCCTGTGCGGCCTCCAAGTTCTGCTGAGACCTCTCGAGCTTGCCCGCCGTGATTTTGACCTTCCACATGGCGCTCTGCACCGTGGCGTGGTGCGACTTGGGCGCCTCTGGGCCTGCCTTGCCTGGGTCGGCCTGCCTGCCGACTCCCAGCTTCTTCTGCGCCTCCTCATCAAGCTGGACTCCGCGCTCCTCCAGCAGCCGCAGCGCTGCTGCCAGCTTGTCGGCCTCGTCGTCCTCCCTGGTCTCGACGACCTCCGCCTCGCGGAACCGCACCCGCCGAGGCTTGCCGCCGCCGTGCACCCAGGGCGCCTCCGCGGTCGACGCCGACTGCTTGGGCTCCGTCTCGGTGCTGGCCTTGGCGCCCGCCTTGGCCTTGGGCGCCACTGCCCTGGACGGCCGCGCCGCGGAAGGGGACGGGCCTGCCGCCGCCTCCACTGCCCGCTGCCGAACGGAGACAGGCGCGGGGCCCCCGCAGCTCCTGCAGTGGAGCCGCGATGCCCAATTGGCCGCCTCGCCACAGCGGCAGCCCCAGGCTGGGGACTTGGGCCCCGGGAGCACGGTGCCGCCGCCGCCCTGCGCCGCCGCCCCGCCGTGGCCACGCGGCCTGGTGCCCATTGCGTGAGCCAAGAGGGTTGCGGAGGCAAAGGAATGGCGAGAAGTCTGGTGATCGTTGCCAGTGCTCGTGCGCACACGGCGCTCTGAAGTATGTACGCACAAGACCCCCCCCCCTGGGAGAGCCCAGAACGCCTCTTGAGCCAAAATGGCTACGGACCTCCTCCTCCTCCTCCTCCGCCTCCTCCTCCTCCTCCTCCTCCTCCTCCTCCTCTTGTGCGCAGCCTCTCTTCTCCGATTGCGCATAGCACGATGGGTCTTTGGGGGGTTCCAGGTCGGCCATGGCACACGGCCGCTGGAAGGGATGGAAGGAAGGGATAGGATGTCAGATGTATGGCGCGAGCGCACCTAGCTTGTCCCTCTCCCCTCGCTCTCCAGCACTGCTCCGCAGTGATGGATCCAGGGATCGGCTGGGGAAGAAAAGGCGTCGCGGTCGGCATCTACCTCGGCAAACTGATCATCCCCAAGCCGCTGGTGATTACCCTGACCGTCCTGGCCTTCCTGAGCGTCGGGCCGGTGGCTGCGACTCTCCCGCTTGCCCATCGCCCATCGTTCGTTGAAGCTTCATACTCCACCCTCAAGCTAACATTTCTTTGGATATTAAGAGTCGTAAGATCTCGTTTCTTTTTAGATCCAGCAAAAAGTGGGTCGTCCTGGACGCTCCGGATCGCAAGCCTCCCATCGTTCGTTGAAGTTTCATACTCTACCTTCAAGCTGACGTTTCTCTGGATACTAAGAACCGTAAGATCTGGCTTCTCTCCAGATCCAGTACAATGTGGGTTGCTCTGGACGCTCCGGAGATCACAAGCCTCCCAGCTCGAGACTCGGACGGCCCTCCGCGCTTCGTCCCTCTCTCCCGGGGGGGCGGGCGGAGCCCCGATCTCGGCCGCCGAGACCGTCCTATCCTGCTCCCGGGCGCCGTGCCCGCCTCCTCCGGCCGACGGGGCACGCCCGAGAGTCTGCTGGGGGGCCACAGGCGAACCCGACCACTTACAGGGGGATTTCGGACGATGTGAAAAATAGTCAAAACATCGTCCCCTGTCGAGTTTGTGTTTTTTCTTTCACAGGGGGTCGCATGCGAACCCGACCCCCTACCCCCCACGATTTCTGAGGGGGGGGAGGGGGGGGGTCACTCCGTTCTGGAGCTTCCGAGCGAAGTAAATCCCACGAGGCAAAGCCCACGAGGCTCCCAAAAAGAGCGTCCCAGAGGCCCCAACGGAAGCCTCCACGGAGGGGCCTGCGAGGCCTCTCCCACGAGATCCCAGCGAACGCGCGAGGAGCTCCAAAGCATGCCCAACTGAATAGGGGGCCGCATGCGAAACCGACCTCCTACGCCCACGATTTCTGAGGGGGGGGCGGGGCTCCCTCCGCTCGGGAGCTCCCGAGCGGAGGGAACCCCGCCCTCCCCCCCTCAGAAATCGTGGGGGGTAGCTGGTCGGCTTCGCATGTGGCCCCCGATCTGCGCGGCGAGCGGCGGGACGGCTCTTGGCATCCGTCCGTGCTGGGCAGCACACCCACGCCGCCGATAGGAGACGAGGGGACAATACGGACGGGCGGCCGCGAGCACGCCGTCGCCGCCCTCGCCGCGGGCACGCGCGCAGGCCCCTCCCCGGAGCCGGCGGGGCGCACGGCGGCGCAGAGGAGCGAGCCCGGAGCGGGGAGGCCCTTTAGCGGCAAGCCTCGCCTCGGCACCGTCGGTCTGGACGCCCGAAAGGGGCACGGGAAGAGTGGGCACAATGCCCAGCAGCAGTTCCTGTTCTGCACCGGGCCCCGTCGCGTTCTGCACCGGGCTGAACCTTGCGTCTTCGGAGGCCATCCTTCCTTCTTCATGCAGCTCTGCACGCACGAAATGGGTACTGAAAGAATGGGTACAATGCCAAACAGCAGTTCCTGTCCATTCTGAACTGGATTCGCTGTCCACGCCGCCGCGGCCTGTGTCCATTCGAGACAGCAGGCCGCCTGCCCAGCAGCGGCCGCTGCTGGTTCGGGGCAGCATTTGTTGTTGGGTATGGTACCCGTTTTTTCCGTATCCATTTAGGGCGTCCAAAGTCGGCACGCGCTGCAGACCCAGACCCCCGAGCAACGGGATGCCTCGTGGCAGCTGCCTCGCACGTCGGAGTCGAGCAGGGAGGGGAGGAGGGCCCAGGATCGAGGGCCTGGGCTCGGCAGCGCTCGGGCGCGTGCACCTCTGCTCGGCGAGGACCTTCGAGGGGCAACCTGGCTCATCTGGCAGGAAGAGCACGCAGGACGCGGGAAGATGCACGGGGAATGGACGTCCGAGCGATGGCACGCGGGGCGTCACCGGCCTTCTTGCAGGCAGGCCTTCCGGACACCTCTCTCTCTCTGGGGAGGCGGGGGCGACTGGGAGTCTCTCCTGCAGTCCCGTTTAGAGGAGGGAGTCGGGCGTTCCGACAGATAGGGTGTGGAGACCGGACTGTGCAGTGAGCCGGTGGGGATCGAGGGTGATCGTTGTTACCTTTGTGATTGTTGTCGGTGTTATCGTTCTCGTTGTGGGGATTCGGGGTGACCGCACAGCTCTGGAACTCGGGTCGCTCTCCGAGAGGACGCTTGGAGGATAGTCAGAGCCCCGAATCATCAGGGGTAACTCGGGTAAGGGCTAACTCGGGTTCGCTTTCGGGATTTCGAACCCGACTTACCCCGGACCCGACTTACCCCGGATGATTCGGGCGTCCAGAGCCCCGAATCATCAGGGGTAACTCGGGTCAGGGCTAACTCGGGTTGGTTTTTCGGGATTCCGAACCCGACTTACCCGGACCCGACTTACCCCGGATAGTTCGGGCGCCCAAAACTCTATCTTGGTGGGCCGATCCCCCCCCGAGGGCCCCTCCCTTGCACGCCGCCCCCCCCTGCCAGGAGGAGGAGGAGGAGGAGGAGGAGGAGGTAGGAGGAGGAGGAGAGGAGACGGAGGAGGAGAGGAGGAGGAGGAGGAGGAGGAGGAGGAGGAGGAGAAGGAGCTGTCGGATACCTCGGGCGCCCAAGAGAGCCCCCGGGCGTCCTGGGACCTCCAACGGGCCCCAGCGCGACGAGAGGCGCGACGCGCCGTGCGGCGAGACCCCTCTCGGGGGCCGTCCGGTGCCCCGGCGCCGTGGCGCGAGAGGCCCAGCGTTCCGTCGGGCGTGTCCCTCTGCATCGTCGTCGTCGTCGTCGTCGTCGTCGTCGTCGTCGTCGTCGTCGTCGTCGTCGTCGTCGTCGTCGTCGTCGTCCCTCTTCTCCTCCTGCTCCTCCTTCTTCTTTTTCGCCT